CCATCCCTTCTCCTCCTCCTCCTCCTCCTCCATCCCTCCTCCTCGTCCTCCTCCTCCTCCTCCTCCTCCTCCTCCTCCTCCTCCTCCTCCATCCCTCCTCCTCCTCCTCCTCCTCCTCCTCCTCCTCCTCCTCCTCCTCCTCCTCCTCCTCCTCCTCCTCCTCCTCCTCCTCCTCCTCCTCCTCCTCCCTGCGCGGTGTGGAGCACATTCGGAGCTTTCCCCACGCGTTCCGCGGCGCGCTCCCCATCGGTTCTGCGGCCGCTCCCAGGCTGACAAGGCATCCCCCCAGACGGCCCGGCACCTCCACGCGGCAGGGGGCCAAGGGCGGCTTGCTGACACGCCATTGTTGCGACAATTGTCGGCATCGGAGGTGGATAGACCTCCGACCCTGACACGTCGATGAGCGAATGGGCCGGTTTCGGGTCACGAGAGGGCGTCGCGGCCGTCATTTTTGCGGGTCCAGGCCCGTCGGTTTCGGTCCTAGGCCGTTTTCACTAAAGGGTGGTTTACTAAAGGGAGGTTTGTCCACCGCCGTCGGTATCGTTTAGACAATCCCCATCCCCATCCCCATCCCCTTCGAGACCCCCACCGAATTAGCCCTCCGTTGGGGATACACCCCTCGAAACCCAAAGGGAACGACCTGTATCCACATCTAGGGGGTAAATCGGCCAGTGGGGCCCAGGCCACGCCGCTGGTGATAGGGATCGGTTAAACGAGACTCAAAAGCCTATTGACAACGACCTACTGACAACGACTGCCGAGTCGGCTAGCGCCTCAGCGCGCTCAGCGCGCGTGGTTGTGGTATATACTTATAGATACGTGTATAGGTATGGTGCTTCTTCTTGCTTTGGCTCAGGATGTGTCCAAGAGGTCTCCAGATATGGCCGAGGCGGCTCACAAAAGCCCAACAAGCATCTGAAACGGCCCAGGAGGACCCGAGAGACTCCGATCATACTGGGCCCAAGACGGCCCGATATGGCTTCAAGACCGTTCAAGATGGGCGTCACATCGGATCCAGAGAGCCCGTTTCCAAAGGGCCCCAAGACGCCTCCGCTCAGCTCAGGAGACCCCAAGAGGCCCTGAAGAGGTTCCGAGAACCCCCAACCCCCAATATGCCCCCAAAACACACCAAGAGGTTTCCAATAAAGCTGCTTACGGCTCAGAGAACCCGCCCAAACAGCGCAGAATAACCCAATATTGCCCGATTGGCCCCAAGAGATAGCAAAAGCAGTTGCAATCGGCAGTGCGCAGCAGCACGCAGTAACATGCACCAGCAAGCACCACCAAGCAGCACCAAGCATCAGCAAGTGACCGCAAACGACAGCAACCAGCAGCCGCAGCAGCAAGCGACTCGAGCAGCGCCAAGCAGCAGCAAACACCAGCAGGCAGCCGAAAGCGACAGCAAGCAGCTGCCACAACCAGACTTGACTCCAGCAGCAGCGCTCCACTTGATGCCCGGGATAGGTTTCTAAAATTTCGGCCTCCTGGGCCTCCAAGATGACCCAAGAGATCTCCGAGGGGGCTCCAAGATGGGCCAAGATGGCCCCAGGAACTGCTAGGAAGGCAGAAGAGGCTTCGAAGAGAGCCTAAGCGGTCACAAGCGGCTACATGAGGCCAGCAAGAGGCTCCAAAAGAGGTTCCAAGAGACCCCATGCGAGATTCCATGTTGTTAATCTGAACATGACCTTTGGTTTCTAGTGCAAGCATTTTTTTTGTTCATTCCACCCCCTTTCCCTTTTCGCCGTCACGGCCCAATATGGCTTCGAGAAGGTGGCAGAGGGCTGCTATGCTGCCCAAGAAGGTACGATGGTGCCGCAACAGGGCCTCCTTGCCGGCTCAAGATGGTCTCTGGAGCCTCTGGAGCCCGTTCTTAGAGTCCAAAGATGGCCCAAGGTGGCAGGGGCCCCAAGGCGCCCGAGACGGCACAAAAGGGCTAAATATGCCCTCAAGAGATTCCCAAGAGACTCCCAATACGCTCCCAGGGCGGTCCAAGAGGGCCCCAAGAGAGCTCCCAAACGGCCTTAGAGGGCCCGGACACGGTTCACAAGGCTCCGAGACTCAAGGGAGGAAAAACCACCCGGACCCGATAAATGGCCATTATTACACGGCCCTGGGCGTTTACTAGACAGCCTTGCCCTGTTCGATCCCTTCTTTGGGGCGCGTTTGCTAAGCGGCTTCGCGTGTCGGGGTGGTTCTCATGGGGGTAACTTTTCTGCCCTCTGGAGGCTGGGCGACAGGCTCCGCACGGCTGAACGACACGCGCGAGAGGTCCCGAGAGTGGCCTCAGGAGGCCCTACGACGTTCCGAGTCCGCACGGATCTGCCACCTCTTTCTGAGGTCCGGGGCGACGCTGGCTCGCCGGGCCGCGTGTCCGCGTGGTGCAGATGGGCTCGCTCGTGTGTCTGCCGCCGAGAAGAGGCGCAGGCATCGGGGACAGCAGTCGCCCTCTTTTGGCACGCCCCGTGACGAACGGCGCTCATTCATTCGGATATGTTCGAAGCGTGGAGGGTCTCCGAAACGTGATGTTGGTCCGCAGTTCCCTTTCGAAGGCTGCCCGTCATGGCAGAACGGCACCTTTGAGACTGCAACGTGTGCTGTCGTTGGTATTGTCCTCACGACCACCTTTTTTCGCCATCGCTGCCGTTACCATCACTACAATCATCATCTTCACCATCACCCCGCTCATCACGTTTTGGTTGGGCGGCGCTTTTCGTGGTCCTTACCCTGTAGCGCACCCATGATTCATTGGCTTGCGCTGCACCGCCGACCCCTTGGGGCGGCAGCAAGAGTGAAAGACAGAATTCGCGGAACGTTGGCGATCGCTGGGCAATCTTGGGGTTTCGGCAGCGTGTGGGGTTCAAGGGGGGGCCTTGTAGGGGATTGTTTTGAAGTTTTTCGTGGTCTTATGTGAGTTTTTCCTAACCATCCTGTGGTGTTGTGTCCTCGTTTTGAAGAGACGGTGCCCCGCATCCCTTCCTTCCTTCCTTTCTTCCTTCCTTCCTTCCCTCCTCCCCCTCCTCCCTCCTCCCCCTCCTTGCCTCTGCTCTCGGCACACCTCTCACACGTTTCGTAGCCCCATAGGGAGCTCCACCAAAGGTCCCAGTGAGGGGGGGCGCATGCGGTTCCCACACCCAGGGCAGCGTTTCGTGGCCCCATAGAGAGCTCCACCGAAGGTCCCAGTGAGGGAGGGTGCATGCGGTTCCCACACCCAGGGCAGCGTTTCATGGTCCGTAGGGAACTCCACCGAAGGCCCCAGTGGGGGTGGGCGCATGCGGTTCCCCCTCCCAGGGCAGCGTTTCGTGGCCCCATAGGGAGCTCCACCGAACGCCCCAGTGGGTCATTTTGGCTCAAGCGGTCGCATGCCGCGCCTCCGCCTCGGCCTTCCGCCTCGGGATGGCTGGCCTGGGCGCGGCTAGAGGGGCTTGCACGGCCGCGGACCTCGCGCTGCTGGTGCGCGCGGCGGTCCGCGGTGCCGTGGACGCGGGGGCTCCTCGGCGCACTGTTGCTGCGGTGGCGCGGTCCGCGCTGTCGGCGGCTGCCTTCGCGGCAGGCGCCGCGGCGCGGCCTGCGCCTGCAGAAGCGGCTGCGCCTCGGGAGCCCAACGACACCAAGAAGGAGCGACGCCGCAGGCGGCGGGCGAGGCTGGCGGCGCGGCGCGCTGCGGCTGGTGCTCCCCCTGGGGCGGAGGCCCCTGCCGCGGGCGCGGCGGGCGTGGCTGGCGCTCCTGGCAATGAAGGTCGGGGTGATGCTCTTCGCGGAGACGGACCCGCTGGTCGGCCCCGCTGGGTCGGCAACAGCGACGGCGACGACGACGCGATGGGCGGGTCCCTGGACGACGAGTGGGCCGACGGCCTGCCTCCTCGCGCCTCTCGGGGCTCGCTGTGGAGGCGGGGCAGGCGGCGGGCGCTACCGGAGGAGGCTGCTCCGGTTGCAGCGGCGGCGGCGGCGGCAGGCGCGGGCCTCGGCCCGCCTGCCGAGGCGGCGGCGGCCCCCCTGGGGCTCCCTCTGGTCGCGCTGGGGGCGGCGGGGGCGGCGGCGGGCCCCCTGGAGGCAGTGCGCGCCGCGCTGCCCGTCGGCGAGCTGGCGGCCCTGGACTCCTTCGAGGCGTGCCAGGGCGTGCGAGCGGCCGCCGACGACGTCCTGCTCCGCGCGCAGCCTCCGCCCTCGGAGGCGATGCGCGAGGAACTCCAGCGTATGCTGGACCTGGTGCTCCCGCACTAGGTCCTCGCGCTAGCGGGGGCGCCGCCCCTTCGGGGGGTCTAGGCCCCGCTCCGCCCTACCCTTCGGCGGTGGGGCTCGGCCTGGCGGCCGCCGCGCTTGGCGCTCGGCGGCCTCGCGGGCCTCGCGGGCGGCGGCGGGCCCCGCCCTAGGCGCGGGCGGCCGCGGCGCCCTCCCTCGGCGTCCTCGGCCTCGCGTTCGCGGTCGTGGACGGCCTGGGCATCCTGCTGGCGACGGCGGACGTCGGGCGGGAGGGCGTGCGGAGCCGAGCGCCGCGCTCGGTCAGCCTACAATTAAAAAAAGGGCCCCAGTGGAGGTGGGCGCATGCGGTTCCCCCACCCAGGGCAGCGCTTCGTGGCCCCATAGGGAGCTCCACCGAAGGCCCCATTGGGGGTGTTCGCATGCGTCTCCCCTGCCCCAGACAGCGCTTCGTGGCACCACCCAGGGCAGCGTTTCGTGGCCCCCTAGGGAGCTCCACCGAAGGCCCCAGTGGGGGTGGGCGCATGCGGTTCCCCCACCCAGGGCAGCGTTTCGTGGCCCCCTAGGGAGCTCCACCGAAGGCCCCAGTGGGGGTGTCCGCATGCGGTTCCCTTACCTAGGGCAGCGCTTCGTGGCCCCATAGGGAGCTCCACCGAAGGCCCCAGTGGGGTGTCCGCATGCGGTTCCCCCACCCAAGGCAGCGTTTCGTGGCCCCATAGGGAGCTCCACCGAAGGCCCCAGTGGGGGTGTCCGCATGCGGTTCCCCCACCCAGGGCAGCGCTTCGTGGCCCCATAGGGAGCTCCACCGAAGGCCCCAGTGGGGGTGGGCGCATGCGTCTCCCTTACACAGAGGTAGCGCCACCGAAAACGATATTCATATTTGCGGTATTCACAACTGCATATGGTTGGGTCCTTCGCCAGGCTAATTTTGGGCCTTCACGGGGCCTGTCCCAGGCTTCGTTTTCCACCTCCCGGATAGGCTCGGGGATCGTTGAGACCCAGCTGGGGTTGCGTCCAGCCAGACGTTGAGAGTAGACCCAGCTGTGTCGGTGAGGAGCCTCCTGAAGGCCCAGAAGGGGGCGGAGAGCGCCCAAGAACTAGGAGTCCCTCGATCCACCCCGTGTTCCTTCCTTTCGAAGGGGTGGCGCCGGCCAGGCAGGTCGATCCTCATCCCAGACTTTCGCCGGTGGTCCCCGGCACCGAAAACGGTTCCTGGATGCTGGATTCGAGGAGATGCCTCGGGTGGTCGAAAGATCACGAAAATCTGTGAGACATCGGCGGCGACGACGAAATCTTATTGTTTTTTTTCTTCTTCCTCCTCCTCTTCCTCCTCCTCGTCCTTCTCCTCTTCTTCTTCTTCTCGATCGAGGTAGATGCCCGCGGCAGTTCATTATTCATTCATATATATATATATATATATATATATATATATATATGTGCTGGCCTTCGGCCCATCCCGCCACCGTGCTTTGGTTGTCTGCCTGAGATCCTTGGTGCTTCGGTTGCGGGTTAGAGGTTGCATGCCCCAAGTGGTACTTGGGGCTTCTTTTGAGCTTCTTGGGGGCCTCTTGGGGCCTCTTGGGGGGCCTGTTGGGGGCCTCTTGGGGCCTCTTGGAGGGCCTCTTGGGGGCCTCATGGGCCCTGTTGGGCGCCTCTTGGGCCCCCCTGGTGCCGTTTTGGGGCGGAAAGTTCGGATTGTTGGTTCAGGTTCCCCCTCTTGGGCCCCTCTATGGGCCCTCTTGGGGCACTCTTGGGCCGTCTTGGGGGCCTCTTGGGCCGTCTTGGCGCCCTCTTGGGCCGTGTCGAGCGCCTCTTGGGAGCCTCTCGGGCCGTTTCGGGGCGGTCTTGAGGGACTGGGGCCGTCTTCAACGCCGTGAAGGCCGAAAAATCGTGTATGATAAAACTGTACGTTTCCCCATGGGAATTCGACGATTTTGGCCTCTGGGGCCCCTTTTGGGAATGCTCTTGGGGGCTTCCTGGGCCGTCTGGGAAGCTTCTGGGGCCGTCTTGGGGCCATCCTGGGCGTCTTGGGCCGACCTTTGGGCGTCTCGGGGGCCTCTTGGGCCGTCGTGGGGGCTGCTTGGAGTCCTCTGGGGCCTCGTGGGGCCTGATGACACCGTTGCCCCCCCCATCCCCCCCCCTCCCCTCCAAACCAGCCGGACTGGGCTCTCTCGGGGAGGGGTTTGGGGAGGGGGAAGCATCTCACACGCCGTGGCCCCAAGGGGTCGGCAGATTCTTTGGATCGGGATTTTTGCGAGAGTTAAAGATTGCATTACGTGCTTTTGGTTCGTTGCCAAGTATTATGGTAAAGTTAATGATTTGGATAGGGACTTGGGGGCATGTTTTGTTCTTCTGTATTGGAATGCTCCCATCCACTATCTGCACGAATGGCAGCGCACAGTGTGTTGCGTTGGGTTCAGACCGGACCTGCTTGACATCTGGTGTGAGCAATGGGCAACGCCGTAGCATGCGTGGACAGTGCAACAATGGTTGGGCCCGTCCAGTGCTCACGTATGGGGCCTTTGAGAGCGGCGAGTATGTCTGCACATGGATAGCTTTACCATCTGCTGAGCGTTTCGGTGCTGATTGTGCGCGTATAGCTACCCACCCGCATCATCAGTATGCGCCGTTCTCTGCGCATGTGGATTTGGATGTGTCTTTGGGTGCGTACGAGCTACATGAGTGCGCGTATATGAGCAAACCTATGTGAGCAGACTTTCCTTGGCCGAGAGCTTTTGACCCGTACTGCCAGTGGCACTGCATACGTTATGGGGATGGTTCTCATTTGCGTTGGGCGCCAGTGTATTGTTGCCCGAACCAGCGCGGGCAGCTGGGGCATGACATCCTTTAGGGGGTTTTAGTTTAACGTCGACCCCTGATGTCATTCCAAGCAGGACTGCGCGGAGTTTCAATCTGGGGTTGTGAAAACGTGAAGCCTGGTCTGTGCACACATCGTGGCAATGCTGGAGCGTCCTTGGTTCGCTTCCGCGCCTGGCCACTTGCTCCGACATCATGTTGTTTGTCGCCTGTGATAGTGCCGCCGCCACAAATAATACACATGTGCCAGACGGCGGCCGCCGTCTTGCACAGCATCGCTGGGAGCACGTTGACAGTTGACCCTCGGAGTGGCCAGTTGAGGCATGGCATGGCAGGGCGGCGCAATACTAGGTTGGGTGGAGTGCGCTACGCGGGCAGGTCAATACAACCGACGCTCTACGCAATCCAGCTGCTTGCGACAAGTCCCGCCACCGTGCCAGTCCATCATTACGGGTGACGGCTGTTCGAGTGGGCACGGGAGGCCGTCACGTGTGAAACCTTGTGCCCCCCCCGGCTTGGGGGAGCCATAATGATGTTGATGGTGGTGGTGATGATGAGGACGATTTGGATAATAACGTACGATGCGGGTGATGGCGAACATTGGGGGATGATGATTATGATGGTGCTGCTGATGATGATGATTGATGATGTTGATACTGATGATGATACCGGTGATAATGGTGATGATGACAATGCTGCTGACGCTGCTGATGAGGCTGCAGCTGCTGATGATAATGCTGATGATGGAACTGCTGATGCTGATGCTGATGATGAGGATGATGATGCTGACACTGTTGTTGTTGATGGTGATGGTAACGATGCTGACGATGATGATGCTGATGCGCATGATGATGCTGCTGATGATGAGGAGGACGATGATGAAACTGCTGCAGATGACGATGTCACTGCTGCTGCTGATGATGATGCTGATGATGCGGAGGATGATGATGATGCTGATGTTGTTGATGATGATGATGATGATGATGGTGGTGGTGGTGGTGGTAATGATGATGATGACGATGATGATGACGCTGATGATGATGATGATGATGATGATGATGATGGTGCTGGTGATGATGATGCTGATGATGTGATGATGATGATGATGATGATGATGATGATATGATGATGATGATGATGATGATGATGATGATGATGATGATGCTGATGATGATGATGATGATGATGATGATGATGATTATGATGATGATGATGATGATGATGATGATGATGATGATGATGATGATGATGATGATGACGATGCTGATGATGATGATGATGATGATGATTGATGATGATGATGACGATGATGATGATGATGATGATGATGATGATGATGATGATGATGATGATGATGATGATGATGATGATGATGGTGGTGATGGTAGTGGTGGTGGTGGTGATGAGGGGGAGGACGATGATGAGGATGGTGAGGATGATGTGAAGGAGAAGGAGGAGGAGGAGGAGGAGCAGGAGGAGGAGGAGCATGAGGAAGAGGAGGGAGACGAAGGCCGTCGCATGTGACACTTTTCGTTTTCACTAGAACTCGTGGAACTCGTTTGGGCCGCATTGTGGCTGTCGTGGCCTCCTGTGAGGCAGTCTTGGCAGCGCTTGGGGGCCCTCTTGGGCCGGTCTGGGGCCCCCTTGGGCCCTTCTTGGGCCGTCATGGGGCCCTATTGGGCAGTTGTGGGTGCCTCTTGGGCCGTCTTGGAGCGCTCTTGGGCCGTCTTGGGGCCCTCTTAGGGCCCTCTTGGGGGCCTCCTTGGCCGTCTTCGGGTTCTCGGAGATTTCCCGGATTGCCACACTGTGCGGCATCTCGGCTGTACACTGGATTCTCTGCGGCGGCCTTGGTGTTCTCCTCATCGTCAGGATTACCGCTCAGGATGTGTGACCTGGCGAGCTGGCCTTTGTTCTGGCACATTTGCAACACAACGATGCGTGCTATTATGGTTGGGACTTTCAACTCATCCTTGTGCCATTGATCCCTCGACTGCGCGGCGCTGCGACCCCAGAAATTACATCGCGTCGCGGGTGCTTTCCATGCGGCTCTTCCATGGGCGGCTGCGAGGTAGTACGTTGCAGCAGTTGCATAATCTCATTCGTTCAGTTTCAGTCGGACGGCGCGGGGGCAGCGACATCTCAGCGAGCCAGCTTTTTCCTTGCAAGGAAGGTCGCGGCGGGGTGGGCCAGTCGGGCTTGGATTTTTCAAATCGGCGTTCAAGGACGGCGACAGCGTGAGGGACAAGATTTGGGGAAGGGCTTGGTTTGGTCCCGAATAAGCTGGAGTTGGGAACGACAGCGAGAGCGCTTGACACATGGGCTTTGCAGCAGCCCTGTATTCAGGAACTGGGCGCGAGGGGCGGGGCATTGCGGTGGCCGCAGTTCGGCTATTGCATGGAAGAGGATGAAGGCTGATGAGGGTTGTTTCGGTCGAGCCCGCTGGTCGGCGGGGCGGCCCAGCTTGGAGCGGCCGCGTCGCTACGGTGGTTGCGGATTGGCCG